AACATACATTAACATTGGACCACAATGCAAAATAAACAGTGTCAAATATAATTCACATACAAGATACCAGAACAAAAATAGCATTCAATAGCATTAACAAAACATATAACATCACAACAAAGCGATAATAACTCATTAGTTCTAATATAAATAACTAAGAAAACTTTAGTATTTATCTATATATATATAATTGCTGGCATGTAGCATTTAATAAAACATTTAATAAAACCTCTATATATTTTCCCGCTCATTTTTTAATTAATGTAAAACTGTTACATTTTACATTAATAAAGTGTTATAATAATTTTAAACTAATTTATTCACTACTAATACTTATTGATTACAACTTTACATTAAATAGTATGTGGAAGTTACATACTTATAAAAAATTGCATTACAATTTTTTTTCTTTAAAATATTTTTTCTAAAATAAAATATTTTTGTCGTTTTAAGCGATTTTTATCTTAGTTAACTGGAATGAGGGTCATAATTAAACACCTTAAAATCACATGAACCAATGTTATAACAATGATAAAAAATAAGGGTTAATTGCATAAAAAAATCACCACCTTTTGTTTAATTGCAAATAAAACTCAACCTTTTCAATTTGGCAAAAAAATACCTAACTTTTATTAAGTGTTGCAATTTTGTCTCGTCTGCCGGACCGCCGCCGCCAACCACCACCCGTCGCCGTCAACTTCGCCGGATATTGAAAATTTTTATATGATCTTGTAGCTCTCTTCCGTGCCGACAACATATCCGTGTTTCACGAAAAAATTTTGTCGATAAGATGTCTAATTTTCCGGTCAAAGGTCGTAGATCTAAATTTTTTACGACCTTTGACTGAAAAATTGGACGTCTTATCGTCGAAATTTTTTTGTGAAACTCGAATATGTTGTTGGCACGGAGGAGAGAACAAGATCATATAAAAACTTTTAATATCCGGCAAAGTTGGCGGCGGCGGGTGGCGGTTGGCGGCGGCGGTCCGGCGGACGAGACAAAATTGCAACACTTAATAAAAGTTAGGTATTTTTTTGCCAAATTGAAAAGGTTGAGTTTTATTTGCAATTAAACAAAAGGTGGTGGTTTTTTATGCAATTAATCCTAAAAATAATTGTAATACTTTTCTAACTAATTAATTGAATGTTCTCTCTAAATTACTAAATTATATTAGCAATTAAAATTTATGGCATCAATATAAATATTCATATTTAAGTTAAATAAATTATATTTACATTACACATTTACATGAAGTCAAAGTTTAAAATGTAATACATCAATTATCTAATATAAAATGTTATATATTGTATAATACATATAAAATATATTTTTATTTTTCTTTGTGCATGTGCACAGGATGAATACTAGTATCTATATAATAAGAATAATCATTTACTAAAAGTAATAGTCAAATTTTTTGGGAGCATTTATTGCATACCTTTTTTGGAAATTTTTTAAATATATGCATTAATTGTTTCCACATAGACGTTTTCAAATAAAATCAAATCATATACAACAACAACAACAACAACAAAGTCTTTTAGTCCCAAACAAGTTGGGGTAGACTAGAAATGAAACTTAATAGAAACAGTAAAAAAAAAAAA